TTCCTTTATTTTTCTTCATCCCGGGATCTTCTAAAACACAACTGAGGAAGTAAGGGACTAAAATGAAGAGGGAAAGTCAGACTTAGATGAGGTAAAGGGAGTAATACACATATTTAGAAGTACAGTATAAGAGAATTGACAGAAGAGGATCGATGGATCAGTTGGAGCAGCAAGTTGCTGAAAGGCACAGAACGATCAGGGAAGGATGTCTGGACATTAGACGTAAAACAACATAAAACAAAATATTTTTATTTTATTTATATAGGCAGAAATGTGAGCTAAAAAATCTGTCTGGCTTATGTCAAAAACAGGTAAAAACTCTTCATTGTATCAGTTCTTTTGCTGATGAACTGTTTTTTACTTTAAGAGTTTTGTTGATGAAGCAACAAATTATCACTTCCACACTGATCTATAAGGGTGTGCCATTCTGATTTTCTGGACTTCAATTCCCACAATTATCCAAGAATGTCATAGTAAGTATTCTGGGAGCTGCAGGATGCTTACTATGATACTGATATTTACCAACCCACACCTACATTTCACTCACCTGGACTAGAGCCTTGTCTCAGAGGCTCTATGGCTGGCTCACGCCTAATTCCTGTTAATGTTTGAAAAAAGGAAGCTACGCCTTTCCTTTCTGAGCATCATAGTTCTTTGGGATGGCCTCTATAGAGCAAGACTACAACTTCCAAAATGCACTTTGGCTCAAGTTATCTATTCCCATATTACTTCACATACTCACTGGCCAAGAAAACTGTATCTGCATCATTTATGTCAGGGGTCCCCAACCCCCAGTCCGTGGCCTGGTGCCGGTCCATGGACTTCGCAGAATCGGGCTGCAGAGACAGATCTCCCTCCCACCCCCGCCCGCACAGTGGGTGTGGTGCGCTCATGTGCATGTGCAGGTCAGCGGGGATGTTCGCTGATGGGCATGGCACGATCGTGTGCATGCATGCCCCACTCACCCACAAGTGCACCATGCCCATCTGCGAGCACGCCGCCCTCACCTGCTAATGCGCATGAGCATGCCATGCCCATCGATGAACATGCCATGCCCACCCGCAAGTGCAGGGGGTGCCCCCAGCCCCATGCACATGGACCCCACCCACACTGCGAGCACGCCGCCCTCACCTGCTAATGTGCATGAGCATGCCATGCCCATCCATGAACATGCCATGCCCACCTGTGAGTGCAGGGGGTGCCCCCAGCCCCATGCGCATGGACCCCACCCACCTCATCCGGTCAACGGTTCCAAAAAGGTTGGGGACCACTAATTTATGTGACTGAATAAATAACTAAATGTTTCCAGAAAAAGATTCTAGGTTGCAAGTTTTTAGAAAACTTCTAAAATACAGTATATAAATATATTTTCCCCTTCTTGATTCTTCAAGAAAGACATATGAAAATGTATACAGAGTCTGGAAGTACTGTGTGAATAAAAAGCAGCTGTGGTTCCACATTATTTAGCATGAACTGCAATAGTTATATAGAACAGTTGGCCATTTGAAAAAAAAATCTCTCAGAAAAATAGCCATTATTCAGTTCACTAGATAGTTTTCCATACTAAAGCCAAAGTTTTTCAAACCTAACTATGTTTTTCAAACATTATGTCTTGAAACTATTCTATAGCTCTTTCAAAAGGAACAATCTTCTGTTCACTAAAAACTATATACCATTTTAAAATGATAACAGGAGACACAAAACATTTAGAAGTGTTGATATTTTATTAGCTGCCTTAGGACTACAAGGCAAAAAAAAACTACCATAACAATAAAAGAGGAGTTATTTGATGGTTTGTTTACTCGTTATAACCTTTAGAAAGTGTCAAGCCTTTTGTAAAATGCTTGCTTCAGGCTGTAGTTTTACAAGATAGGCTGTGTATTGGTCAAGCCCCCCGATTTTTGACCCTGAACAGATTTAGGAACAGAGTACAGCTGGCTCACATCCAAGCAACCAAAACTAGGTACTTTCTTACTGTATTTTTCAAACTCGTAATCCACCTCCTACGAAATTGCAAAGTCCATTTCCTGCATGCTGCTCAATCAAACAGTTCTCAGTCTTGAAGACTGAAAACATAAACTAGCTCCTGAAGTTAAGCCTGTTCAGATTTACTGAAGATTTTAAAAGTTTGAAGTAAACTATAGAAGGGTGGATCTTGTCCCACACCCAGAAACTGATAATACAAAGGAAAATAAGGAAAGCCAATATTCAACAAGAACCTTAGCCATGATGCATTTTGTAACTGGAATGCCTACAAGACTTCCCCAATTCTATTGAGATGAAGGATCTACTGAGCAGAAAGAAGGATAAACTAAGAAGTGAGATCATGTGTACATTGTAGTCTAGCTGACAATGAAAGGGGGAAGAGCAGACTGCAGTGATAGTTAGCTGTCAGTGCCTTGTGATCCTGTGGTAAGGTAATAGCTTTCTTGAGGTTGCCTTGAGTCTAGCACCTATGAAACGTTTAGTTTGACTCTAGGTTTTCTGATTTTCCTTGGCTACATTGCCACCTCTAGTACCAATGTACCCAGACATTATAGAATTAGACTCTGACCAAACATGAAAGCTATACCAGGAGCAACGATAAAAAGAAACCCATAAAAATGGATAAAGAATATATTTTTAGGAATCCCTTACAACTGTGTGATTCTACAATACCATAAGCACTCAATGTCCAAAATCCTGTTGTTTAGTATAGTACATTGCACTACAGTAGGCCCCCTGAATCAGTGGGGATTTAGTGCGTCAACTCCTCCATAACTTCCATTGATTCAAAAGGGCCTATTCAAACTGCAACTTAATATGCTGAAGTAAGTTGTCATTAAGAATAGGCCCTTCTAAATCAATGAACTTACAAAGAAGTTGATTCATCAAATCTCCATTGATTCAATAGCCCTACTCTAGTGCTACAGTATTTATTATGCTAAGCAACAGGATTTTGGCCAATAGATTAGAAACATTATCATGTGAGTGAAATAAATAAGCAGCAGATGTGTCACAATTTAGAAATCCTTGCATACAACAGCTTGTGATCAAACCTAGACTGCTTGAAATCCATTGCATACCAGGAATTCTGTTCTGTCTAATAGTTGACTGCCACATTTAGTAAACAATATTGACCAAATGGAGTGGGAAGTAATACTTGAGCTCCTTAGAGAAATAGCATGATACAAATGAAACAAACAAAAACTACTACACTAATAATCAGCAACAGGTGACTACGTGAGCAGAATCTTGACTGCAGTTCTGCATTTAACTATTGCTCTACGAGGCTCCTAGTGACACAGATCACCTAAAAGAGATGCACAGAATTGGGGGGGGGGTGTATATGTGTGTCAAATCAAACAATGTGCTTAATAATAGATTACAAGAGATATTCTGCAATTATGACTGTTTTTCTCTGTCAATATGATTTCCTCTGAAGTGGATGCCTCAGCAATCAGATTTGCAAATAAAGCCCATGTTTGCCTTTCAGTGAAGAATCACAACACAATGCACACTGATTATAAAATATGGAGATAAATAGAAGTACATGCAGGGCAAACTGATATTGTCCACCACTACACCTCTTCTAGACACATGTTATGCGATTGTCTAGTTTGACATTCAGTTGGCCAATGTATGTTTTGTTGGGATGCAAGATGAACTTGCCTCATTTTTCAGCCTCAAAAGAGACAACATGATTGTTCAGGCAACTGCCCTCCAACAGTAAGAAAGTATTTCTAACCTTCTCATTTGGGGGAACTGCTGATTTGTAAATGAATAACCTCCTAATTCTACACATTATTTTAACATCCACAATTAGTTAGGCTTTCAATGCTGGTACATTTGAGTCCATGTCTCCTAAGTAGTAGGATCCCTGAATCTGAAAGGACATGAACATGTCCCTTTACTGAGAAAACTATAATACACTCTCTGTCAGACTGTATTTCTATGTAAAAAATTTCAGCTGGTTTTGCCCAGTGACAAAGCAACATTCTCCATTGCATCTGAGGGTAGGGCAAGAACCAATGGGTGGAAACTTGTCAGAAGGAGATCCAATCTGGAAATAAGGAGGAATTTCCTGATGGTGAGAACCATGAAGCAGTGGAACAGCTTGCCTCCTAATGTTGTGGGTGCCCCATTGCTGGAGGTTTTCAAGAAAAGATTGGACAGCCATCTGTCCAGGATGGTAGGAGGTCTCCTGCCTTGGGCAGGGGGTTGGACTAGAAGACCTCAGAGGTCCCTTCCAACCCTACAACCATTCTATGATTCTATGATACAGGTTTTAAACCTCTTTTTCTGTTGCACCTGTATCTAAGCTTCTATAAAATTGTGGGCAAAATGCCTTTTCCCAGTTTCCAATAAAGTAAATTTGTTTGTGTGCTTCAGCATGTTGAGAAATGAAAAAGAAAAAGAAAAAAAAGAAGCAAGAGAGAAATATTATGGCACAATAAAGACTAACAGACTGATTTCCGTGTCCACATTAATGGATCAAAATCCACTTCTTCAGACACATTCTGAGGCTAGCAGTCAGTATGCTATGGTCCCTCAGTCAAATCTTTTACCTGGGTTCCTGTTTGTGGCCCATCAAGGCCAGACCACACAGGAAGATGACTACCATTGTCCTCAGGGTTCTCCAAAATTTCGGCATCAAGACTGTTGCCTAAAGAGGATCCCCTCAAAATCTCCTTAAGTCTTGGAAATTTAATGCCTTAGAAATCACTTTTCTTTATATGTTGTAGAACAAACTTAAGAACACACTCTTGACTGAACCATCTGTGCACGAAATGCAAACAGGAAAAGAATGCAGAAAGGCATTCTCAGGAGCTGACCTGTACCCGTTGAACTCCCTTCTAATCTAATAAGAATTACATTTAGAACAAGTGAAAACCTTATTTAAGTTGGCTTCCAAAAGCAAAGCATAACTAGGTATGCAGACATTTAAAACATGTTAATATTTCATTGGACAGTTTAACTTGAAGATTTCATTGCATTTATTTTGAAATAAATACACTTACCCTTCTCATACGCAGTTCTTCTATTGCCTCCAGAAGGCTTGTTTTGAAATCTAATCGCTGAATACAAAGCAATGCTTTTGAGGAATTTTGTAAGTTATATGTAGATGTTTCTTCATTTAAGCCTTCATCCATTTTCCAAATTGTAACTGAAAAAAATTAATTCACAAATTTACCCTGTTCACCCTAAAATAAGACCTAACCTGAAAATAAGCCCTAGTATGATTTTTCAGGATGCTCACAATATAAGCCCTACCCCCAAAATAAGCCCCATTTAAGTGAAACCCCCCCCTCCAGTATTGTGCAGCAACCAGAAGAAGATGACATGACTGTATTTGAATAAATGCAGATTGTTGTACATGAAAAAAAAAATCCCCTGAAAATAAGCCCAAATGCGTTTTTGGAGCAAAAATTAATATAAGACCCTGTCTTATTTTCGGGGAAACAGGGTACCTTAATTAATATACCATGCTAATACTTAATTCATTTAACATGAAATAACACCATCACAGACCTAAAGATAAAGGTTCCCCTTGACAATTTTTGTCCAGTCGTGTTCGACTCTAGGGGTGGTGCTCATCCCCGTTTCCAAGCCATAGAGCTAGCATTTGTCCGAAGACAATCTTCCGTGGTCACATGGCCAGTGCGACTTAGACACGGAACACTGTTACCTTCCCACCGAGGGGGTCCCTATTTATCTACTTGCATTTGCATGCTTTTGAACCGCGAGATTGGCGGGAGCCGGGACAAGTGACGGGCGCTCACTCCCTCACATGGATTTGATCTTACGACTGCTTGGTCTTCTGACCCTGCAGCACAGGCTTCTGCAGTTTAGCCCACAGTGCCACCACATCCCTTATCCAAATGAAATTAAGCTAGATCTGAATGGAAATTACATTCAGGACTGAAGCTCTCAAACACTCCGAATTAAATATTAAACAGGACAGTGATATCATCATATTAGAACTACAGAGCTGGAAGGGCCCCTTTGATCCAACAGATATTGATCAGAACATGTGTTACTGATGAATCACGTCAAATATCAACCCATAGAAATATATTAAAGCAAGCAAAAAAATCCACTATGGCTTTGTGGGGTAATTTTGTCCATCATCAATTTCACTTCTTTTCACTGAATAACAAAAATAGAGCAAAGCAAAAACAAATTAAAGTATTATGGCACCATTAGAAATAAAAGGTTTATTTATTTCAAGTATTAGAATCCACTTCCACAGACACACACTCATGTGTCTGGATGCAAGAAAGCTCGGACTGAAATAAACGTGTTTCCCTTAAAGGTGGCATAATATTGTTATCACCTTCTGTTGTATGTGCTGAAACTCATTAATACAGCTTTCTCTTTGAAGAGTATATTCCACTAAGGTCTCCCCTAATATTCAGTAGATTGGCCTATGTTTTGACTTTAAAAGATAGGATAGGGCCTTTCTGAACTTCATAACAAAGCTATGCTATGTTTGCTTTTGAGTTCCCAGCATTAACCAGGAAGCAAGAGCTCTATGTCAAAATAATGCCTCACAGCTACCCACTCCAGCCACAAAGCATTTTGCCGCATCTTGGCTATGTCACATTTTCTGGAATTAGAAAAATAGTTACCAGTACACTTCCTCATGATGTAGTATTATCTTCGCAGGCACCCAAGAGAGACAACAGAGAGTTTTGTGGTTGGAATGAGCAGAACAATGCTTTTTTAATGTGAAGAAAATACAAAATATAGCGTTTTGTAATGTAAATGAGTGCCCCCCAAAATAAAAGGAAACTTCATCTGTCCCCTCCATCTTTATAGCATTTAGGTTTTGTATTTCCTATACAAAATTACTGAAGAATTTGAGCGTGAAGTCATACCTAAAGATGAATTTCAGGATCCTTTTCTCTATTATATCAAATGTCTTTTCTGCATCAGTAAAAAATCAATGTGGATAGTTTATTCCTGCACTTTACAGTGGGGTCTTGACTTAAGAACGGCCCGAGTTAAGAACATTTTGACTTACAAACCACTCTCATAGGAAAATATTGACTTGACTTACATATGTATTTGCGAAGGTCAACATACTTAGATTTGAGTTACAAACTGAAAAAAACCCACGTGGGAGGCAGGGAAAGTGCAAAATTTGAACTTTCAGTTAACTGTTGGCCAGTGAAAACGGTGCCTGTCTGCTTCCTCACTCCTCCCAGCGTTTAGAGAGTGGATTGGGAGACAGTCTTCAGACTGCCTGGTCCTGGACTGCCTGGACTGTATTTTCCCTGCCTTCCCTGAACCTTTCTTGACCTAAGAAAAGAAGAAACATAATATCCCCCTCTAGTGGTCGACAGCGGAATAGCAGCTTCCCATTAGTTTCTATGGACGGAAAAGAGCAGATACGGATCAAATGGTTCTCAATGCATTCCTATGGGAAATGCAGATTTGACCTGAGAACTTTTTGACTTGAAACCCGCCTTCCAATACGGATTAAGTTCTCAAGTCAAGACCCCACTGTATATCAATTACATCAAATTATCTTTTAAAAAATTCCTTGAAGATATCTCTATTTCAATAAATGTGATTACTCACTATTATCACAGGTACTCGTTCTGTTTTCAATTTGCTGTTCAAAACAGATGTTAAAGGCCTGAATCCTACTGATGTTCATGTAAGCTTTGCATCGTTTGAAGCAACCAATTTATGAAGTGTCAGAGCATGTCTAGGTCTCCTGCCTTGGCATCTGCCTGACAGCACAACCAAAAAGCCAGATTAAGTTGTGCAAACCTTACACAAATTTCAACAGGATTCCAGCCATTATCGTAAAATTTGAACATACTTTTGTGTTACCATTATACTCTAGAAATAAAATAATACAACATGTAGGAAACTAAGCATATAATAGATATGCCAAGAGTTTAACAATCTTTACACCACCTAGTGTTATATAAAACCAGAATCCTTCTTTCCAGATCAGGCCATTTGGGGATCTTATAGTAGAGATAAGATGTGAATCCATGTCAGATCACATGTGGATCCATGTCAGATTGCAGGCAGGCCAGAATCAGACCCCAATGAGACCTCAGAGAAAGAGGACTCTAACAGACACAATATGCATATGGCTGATTAAAGGAAGTCACATTTTTAATAAGTACCTTAAGGTGTTTTCCCTAAAAAAGGAAGCTACTGAAAGGGTTTGCAAAATTAGTTCATTCAGGTCATCTGGACTCCCTCTCCAGCTTCTGATCCTCCAACAAAATCTCCAGGACTGCTGAAGCACAGACATCAGTGAGCCCAAACTGAAGCCCAAGGATCTCTCATTTGTATTCTCAAAGGCTTTCACAGCTGGGATTCAATGGTTGTTGTCGGTTTTCTGGAGTGTTTGGCCATGTTCTTAAGGTTTTTCTTCCTAACGTTTCGCCAGTCTCTGTGGCCGGCATCTTCAGACCACAGGAGTCAGAACTCCATCTGTACAGTACTCTCATTTCTCATTTCCTAGCCCTACCCAGGATGATGAACCAAGAAACAAAGTGCAATACAGCAGGATCAGTGAGAGACCATACCATGTATACTTGCTGTTGAAGCATACATACTTAGTATGATCTCTGGCTCCCTCTAGTGGCCAATTCTGATAATACATGGTGAAAATACATAATTTGTGGGGTTTTTTCTCTTTTACTATGCTATGTATAGCATTTGCTGTTATCCATAATTTTCAGCTTGGAACCAATCCCCCATAGATATGAGGGTCCTATTGTATAGACAAAATGATGGTCAGCAAGCGATCTGCAAAATCCACAATTTTATTTCAGCTTATTGATGATGCAGTATTTTCTTTCGCCCAACTCCTTTTACTGTAATATGAGCTTTTTGGCCAGGCTGTCTATTTCCTTCCCTCCAATCTGCCCTGCACTGCCCTGTTTGTATGGCAAGGAATCACTCAAAGCTAGTTGAGGAAAGCTTTGTTAAGAAACAAACATTTAGTCTCCCTGAAGTAACCCTGGAAATGTACATTACACTGCTTTATAGTTTTGAAAATATTCAGATATCAGTATAAGCTAAGTTAAGGCACTTGTTACATTTTTATAGTCATAAACAATTACAAGACCAATTCTTAAGCACAGCACACATGACATGTACTGTACCTTATTCCTTTGTGCATGATAATTCAGGATACAAATCCTTGATTGTCTCATGCTTGCAACTTACAAGGAGTTGCTACAGGTTTTCTCTTCATCAAAGAGTATAATAAGGAATTTGCAGGCTGTCAGTACTTTCCTTGCACCTGCAAGAATGATGCTTTGTTCAAATTGATCACACTTTGCACAAAATTGTGCAAATTAGTCTCAAGAGAACAATCTGTGCTACATGTGAAGGTTCTTCTCCACACTGATCAAAGGCTCTCCTCCTTCATCTGTATCTCTTTGTATGTGCTCAGTAACAATGAAGAAGATGCAGCTAACATGCTCCCCCTCCTCCCTCTTTTATCTGCTCTTTTCCTCCTGGGTATTACCCCCTTGTAATCATTTTAGAGTTTCAGCTGCCTTAGGCATTTGATGCAAACGCTGGGCAAAAATATTGAGAATAGACCAGGGTGGATCAAAATCAATATTTTAAAAATCAATTTAAATCAGGAAATAAACAAAAAAAAATCATTTTTTAAAAAAATTAAGTAATCAAAGTATCAATTTTTTAAATTTTAAATAATGACTTAAATCATATCCATCCTGTTGAATGAGAAGCGAAAAAAATCTATAGAAATGACAATACTAATATTAGGTTGAAATCCCTGATGACTCTAGAAGTATCCTCAAAGACAAAACAGAACTTATCCATCAATGAGCCAGTATCTTTTCTATACAAATACATATACATTTCAAAAGTCACATCAATCCCCCCGTAACCAAAAAACAAACCAGAAATACCTACAGATCAATGACACAGACAAACTAACAAGACTAAACAAAACACAACATGGGGAGGCACTTCCCATACCAGCTTAACTATTATATAAACTTCTAACTGCAGAAATAATATATCCATTTGCATCTGCACATGCTATATGCCACACAGGATCTGTCCTTCCAGTGAGCAGTCAGGGTTGATTTCCTTTAGAATTGATAGGTTTGTTCTCCTTGCAGTCCAGGGGACTCTCAAGAGTCTCCTCCAGCA